GATCCTATACAATATTACTGCTCTCGAAGAAAAAAGTTAAAATACTTTATTATTTTTTTAAAGATTTTATTTATTTGAGAGAGAGAGAGAGAAAGAAACAGCACGAGAGGGAAGAGGGTCAGAGGGAGAAGCAGACCCCCTGCTGAGCAGGGAGCCCGATGCGGGACTCGATCCCAGGACCCTGGGATCACGACCAGAGCCGAAGGCAGTCACTTAACCGACTGAGCCACCCAGGCACCCCTAAAATGATATTTTAAAATATAATTCAGGAATGCAATCCCTGAGGCTTTGTAATTTGAAAGTACCAGGAAAAATTGATAAGGAATTGTTAACACCGAGATATATCTTCTAAGTTATTAGATCTTAATGATTTTTTAAAGACTGGAGAGCAGTTATAATGCTATTTTTGGAGCAGCCGTAATTATAAAGGTAACCATTAGACCAAAAATATGCACCTCCTAAATGTTAGAACTATATATACAAACCATATATTGGTTTATTTAAACGTAAATATACATAATGGCGCCCTTCAACGTTTTTTATTGAAGACTCTCAATAAAATAGGAATGGATTAATTTTCCTTGAATGGTAAAATGTAAATAGCAGTATCATGACTAATGGTGAAACACTAGAATCATTTCCAATAAAGTCAAGGTAAGGATGTTTTCTACCACCAGAGGCACAAGGCAACCCATTAAATAAGAGAAAAATATCAGAGGCAGAAAAATGATTAAACATATCTAACTTAAATCCAAAGCGGAATCAGATAAAACCCAAGATTATCACAGAAACAACTATTAAAAATAGTAAGAGAAAAATAAATAAATAAATAAATAAATAAATAAAAATAGTAAGAAAATTCAGTAAGATAACTACCAGATGCAATACTAATATACAGGAATCAATAACCTTCATATATTCCAACAGCAGTAATTAATGGAAAAAGGATGTCACAGACAACAGCAACCCAAAAGATAAAATAACTAGGAATAAGCCTAATAGAGATATGCAAGATCTTTATGAAGAAAATCATAAAACGTTACTGAGAACATAAAATAAGACTTGAACAAATGGAAAAGTGTAATATGTTCTTGGACACTATAAATTTAACATGATCCCAATAAAAATATCACGAAGTTTTTGTTTTCATAACTTGTTAATCAAACTCAGTGTTAAAACAAGAATAATGGTCAAAACCATCTCAAAAAATTAGGATGAAAGGGAACTACCCTTACTCGACATTAAAACATTTAAAAACTATGGCTACTGACACATGAGTACAGCAATAGAAGGGAATAAAATATATAGGGAAACTCAGAACATAGTAAATGATAAAATTTCAAATCAGTGTGGATAAACTGGTTTATTCACTAAATGATGCTAGTAAGACAACTGAGTAGCCATCTGGAAAAAAGCTAAAACTATACCTCACATGTAACACCTGAATAAATTCTAGATAGGCCTGGATTTAATTGTAGTCATAAAAAAAAAAATCACTCTGTGAAAAACCATTTGTTTACACAGGAAAATATTCATATTGTACTTCTAAATGAGAAAAGTTGCCTAAAAAGCAGGACTTAAAGATATATATGCCCCAAAAAAAGGGGGGCGCCTGGGTGGCTCAGTTGTTAAGTGTCTGCCTTCGGCTCAAGTCATGATCCCGGGGTCCTGGGGTCAAGCCCCACATCAGGCTCCCTGCTCGGCAAGAAGCCTGCTTCTCCCTCTCCCGCTCCCCCTTGTGTTCCTGCTCTCGCTATCTCTCTCTCTGTCAAATAAATAAATAAGTTCTTTAAAAAATAAAAAAATTAAAAAAAGATATATATGCCTATAAGTATATAGTAACTATGTCTGGATAGTGGAATTGCAAGTGCTATGCTTCCTTTTATAAATTTTGCAAATTTTTTGTATTAAGCATGTAATATTTTTACAATCAAGGGAATAAAAGCACTAAGAAAGAATGAAACCAACCTACCAGCCAACCACATAAACAATAATCACAAGCCTGGGCTTTAAAATCTGACAGACTAGGGATGCCTAGGTGGCTCAGATGGTTAAGCGTCTGCCTTTGGCTCTGGTCATGATCCCAGGGTCCTGGGATCGAGCCCCGCATCGGGCTCCCTGCTCGGCCGGAAGCCTGCTTCTCCCTCTCCCACTCCCCCTGCTTGTATTCCTGTTCTCGCTATCTCTCTCTCTGTCAAATAAATAAATAAAATCTTAAAAAAAAAAAAAAAGAAAATGAATTATCTCTCATGAAATTAGATAGAATTTCTAAACAAGATTTTAGCACCTCAAAAATCAGTCAACTTAGTTCATCATATTAACAAACTAAAAAGAAGCCACATGATCATCTCAACTGACTTAGCAAAAGTATGACAAAATACAAAATCCATTCCTGATAAAGACTCTAGGCATACTAGAGACAGAATGGAACTTTCTCAATCTGCAGTTACATCATATTAATGGTGGAAGACCAGACGTTCTGCCGCTCAATTAAGAACAAGAAGATGCCCCTCTCACCACTTTTCTAATCAACATCATACTGGAGACAGCAAATGTGCAAGAAAAAGAAATAAAAGCAATTCAAATTGAAAAAGTAGTAAAACGTTTCCTTTATAAATGAAATACAGCTACAGGATGTAAAATATACAAAATCAACTGAATTTCTATATACTAGCAATGAACAGATATTGAAATTTTTTAAAAATGCCATTTTTAATAGCATGGAAAAGTATGAAATAGGAATAAATCTGACAAAAGATGTGAAATACCTATACACTAAAAACTACAAAACTTTGCTGAAACAAATTAGAGAGGATCTAAATAAATGGAAAGATATACCTTGTTCAATTTATCAATTCTTTCCCCAAATGATCTATAAATTCAACTCAATCTCAGTCAAAAGCCTAGCAGGCATTTTAAAGAAAGTGACAAATCGACTTCTAAAATTAATATGGAAATACAAAGGATCCCGGACAACCAAAACAACTCTAAGAAACAACAAAGTTGGAAGATTAACACTACCTGATTTCAAGATTTCTTATAAATGTACGGTAATTAAAATAATCATAAAGATGGACAAATAGATCAATGGAACAAAATAGAGTCCAGAAATAGACTCACACATACAGAATAACTGATTTTTGACAAAGATACAAAGGCAATTCAGTGGAGAAAGGACAGTCTTTTTAAAAATTGAGCTTGAATAACTGGACATCCATCCATATGCAGAAAAAGTGAACTTCAATTCATACCTTGCATCACACACAAAAATTAACTCAAAATGGATTACAGATCTACCAGTAAAACTTAAAATTATAAAACTTATAGAAAAAAAAACTAAGAAAACAACACAATTAAAAAGTGGGCAAAAGATCTGAACAAGCACCAAAAAAAGATATACAGACTGCAAATAAACACATAAAAACATGGTCAACACTGTTCATAATTAGGGAAATCCAAATTACAATCACAAGAAGAATCACTACACACTTATTACAATGACTAAAATCAAAAGGCTGACCATACCAAGTATTGGCAAGAATGAGGAGAAACTGGACCTGTATCTCATACACTGCTTATGGTAATGTAAAATGTAAAAACCACTTTGGAAAATACACAATTTTTTACACAACCTGTAAGAAACACAATTCGGACTGTTTCTTAAAAATTAAACATAAAAAAAAAAAAACCATACACCTACCATATGACCCAATACCACTCTAGGTATTTACCCGAGAGAAAGGAACACATAAGTCCATACATAATTATACACAAAGATTCAGTGTTAACTTTAATAAACCATGAACAACTCAAATATCCACCAACAGAGGAATAAATGAATGAATCATGATATACACGTACAATGAAGTGTCACTCAGCAGTAAAAAAATAATAAACTACTAATAGACACAACATGCATGAATCTTAAAACAATGATGCTGAGTGAAAGAGCCGGACCCCTCCAAAAAAATAATACGATCTCATTTATATAAAACTAGACAATGCAAACGATTCTGAAGTGACAGAAGGGCGATCCGGTGGTTGTCTGGAGAGGTTGCAGGCAGGGAGGGGCAAGAGGAAGGGATACGAACAGGCATAAGGAAACTTTTGAGGTGAGAGAGATGTTCTCTTTCTGGATTACAGTGACGGCTTCATGTGCGTATACACACACAAAAATTTTCAAATTGTGCAATTTAAATATGTGTAGTTTCTGTACACCAATCACACCTCAAGAATACACAGCTTTTTTGGTGCGAACTATACCTCAATAAAACTGTATCAAAAAACAGCCGAAGCCAATGAATAGCCATAGACAACTTTTAAGACAGAAGAAAAGAATACAATTAAGTCTGTGTTTTAGGAAAAAGAGAACTACGGTGACAATGTGGAGGACAGAAAGGAAGTGAAAGACTAAAACAAGGATTTTAATCAGGAAGCTATTGCAGAAGTCCAAGTCATTAAGTGAGAGATTATGTATGTCAATCTCTTTTCATGTCTTTTTTTATCTGTAAAATAAGAGTACTACCTGTATCACAGGGTTATTGTGAAAAGCAAATGGAATAATACCTGCCGCTGTTAAGCTACAGAGACCGAGAACAATACAAACGTTAAAATATTATTTTGCAATTATATACACATAGGTCCTTCTTGTCCCCTTCTAATTTAATCGTGGTACATCAGTGGTCTCCTAACTTCTAACCTGCTCTCAAACACAAGGTCAGCATTCTCTAAAGCAGGTAAGTATCAGAACTTTCCTGGGCTACAAGCTTCTTGCATTCATGAGAACTATATATTTAGACCAAATCTAATGACAGCTCAGATCCTCTAGGCTCAGAAACAAAAGTTTAGCATTTAAGCTCACTCCCTATACCGATATGAGTGATTACAGACACTAACGTATTTTCCCAGAGCCGTAAGGACTGAAACTTAAAAAAAAAAAAAAAATCCATTCACCACCTCCCTACCCAACAGTCTTCTCAGTTTCATTTCCAACCCCATACCTCGTCCATTGACATATCCCATACTCTGCAAATTTCATTCTCCATTTCTTCATCAAGCTCCATCTGCTGCTCATCATCTGAGCTGGATTTGGTATTTTCAGGGCTAACAATCTTCAACAGAAAGGAAGAAAAGTGATGACAAAAGCAGTCCATAGTACTCATCATGTAATATTATCCCATCATCATTCACAAGTCACAAAGACACTTTCCTCAAAGTATCTTCTCCTGCAGAAACCTTTTTTTAAAAAATTACTACCCTGGGTAGATCTATTCATTCACATTCACAGAGTAAATACTGTTACTAGACACTGGGGTCGAAATACAGAGATGAATATATTTAACCCCTTGCTTTCAAGCAGTTAAGGATCTACAGGGGGAAACACATGTAAACTAATTATCACAACAGAAAAGGCTGAGTGATACAAATGAACTATGGACAGAGTAGTGAAAGCAAAAACGATGGACCAATGACCTATGCCTGGAAAAGGTGGGCAAACTTCTCCTAGGAGGTAATCTTTAAGCTAAATCTTTGAGGGAGAACAGGAGTTTGTCATGTGAAGAATGGGAGAAGAACATACCTAAGAAAGTTCAAGAGTTCAGAGTTAAGAAAGGGCCTAGTAAGGTCTGGGGAATGGTGAGTAGTTGAGTGTGTCTTGGGCAGATGAGGCTGGGAAGGTTGCAAGGAGCCCTGGATTCCAGACTAAGAAATATGCATTTTTCTCCTGCAGGCAAAGAGAACCAAAATGAGTTCCCAAGGACAGCTTGGTCTTTTTGGTTTGTCTGTTTGTCTAAGGACGAATATTCCCGCAACTATGAAGTAGCTGCACTGGAGAGAACAGAGACTGAAAGTAGGTAAGTCCGGGAAACGTGGGAGAAGAAAGTTCACATTTATTGAGAGCTCCTATAAGCCAAACACCATGGTAAGCACTCTATGCCCATTATAATCTTATCTAACCTACACAATAACCCGATATACAATAACATAGGTAACGCAGTTTATAGAAATTGAGAAAGAAATTGAGGCTCTGAGCGGTTAGGTAACTTGCCCAAAGCAGGTGATGAAGCCACGCTTTCGTATCAGAGCTGCAGGACTCCAAAATCACCATTTATTCTACTACAACAAAAGTCCACGAAATAAATTGGGCCCTGAGGTTCAGAAACGACAGTGGGAATGGGGAGCAAAAAGCCGAGCAATGTATTTACACGGTCAGACGTTTTCGGAAAATATGCAAAAGTAAAATATTTTAACCGTAAGCATTCCAGCATCCCTGCCACTCTACCTCCCTTTGTGTTGAGGGGTACCGGGAAGTGGCTCCCCGCAATTTTGGGGTCCGTGGAGGCGGCCAGTACGCTAAGCGCGATGCCTCGAGAAGGGTGGTCGGGGAGGGGGTGCTGGAGGGGACTACCAGAGGCGTGACCAGGGGGCTGGGGCAATGTGGGAGAGCCCACGCGGGGCGCGACTTTCCACACCTGGATGAGCCCGCTGAGGACGCCGAAGAGCCAGTGTTTGCTGTAGACCGTGCTTCCTATGCAGTCACCCCCGGCCCCCTCCTCCTCGTCCTGGTCCCGACTGGGCAGCGGCGGCGAAGGGTTGCGGTCCATGACTTCGTCGCCACCCGCTCAGAGAAGCCGCGCCGGAAGCCCCCGGAGGAGGCGATAAACCTCCTGGCGCCAGAGGGGCCGGCGCGCCCGACGCGGCTCCCGCCACAGCGCCCCCTACCGCCCGGAGCCTGCCGGCCTGAATACCCGTTCTATGCGCCCTCAGGCTTGGGATCCCAGATGACTTGATCTCCCCTTACCCAACCCTATCTAGGACCCAAGCACGACCATATTCATAACTGTTATTGGTCACTCTCCCTGGACCAGATATTCCATCTCCTTAGGGGCTCTTAGCCTGACTGAAAGGACAGGGAGTCGGGGACAGTGTCTCTGGTGCAGATGTACATTTCGAAGCTGTCGGACCCCTGATCCCTGGGCACGTTTGGCATCCTTAAAAGCATCAGTAGGCGCTCTTTCTTTTCTCAGGTGTGGTTGGAATCCTCGGAAAGACATAAGTCACCAGGAAGAACGTCAATATCGTCAAGATTACAACTCCCTGTATTTTCAGTTCCTGCTTCTCTTTAGTTCAATGGTACTCAACCTCAGACCCAGTGCTCCTCCCCCACCCCACAACAAATATTTTGCCACACCTACTTTACTTTGATGAAAGAGATTTATAGATGATATTATCTACCTTAACATTAATTTCAAAAATAGTAATATGGCTCCCTAACAGAAAGAAGAAATAGAATTAATTTAAAATAAAATGATACGTATTTTAATATCTCAAGTACTAGAAGACATAATAGAGGTCTCCAATGTTAGCACATACACATCAGATCACTGTGAACCCAACAGTTACAATACAGAGTAAGAGAGGTGTGATTCCATCAGGGGCTGTGCTTCTCAAAATCATAAACAGAGGATGGTAAAATTTCTACCAAAACAAAGTTTCAATTTACAAAGCAATTGTATTTTCAGAAAATTTTAAGCTATATTAAAACTGGAAAAAGAATACTCTGTTAATATGTAAAACACAGTTGGATTCCAGGCTTAAATAATTATGAACATTTTTTTTCACACTGTATGCAAAGGGGCAGACCCAGGTTTCATAAGGTCTGAATTATGCAATTTGGGGAGCCCCCTTTAGGAAAAATAATACAAAATTACAAATATTAAATTAGTTAACAATAGGAAATATTTCTTTAGAATGGTGAAAACATATCAATTTTAAATAGCCAACAAATATGTAAAACATCACAAAATACAGAAAAATATATAAATATTTTTACTGATAAACAGCCTGGGGACACCTAGGTGACTCAGTCGGTTAAGCGTCTGCCTTCGGTTCAGGTCATGATCCCAGGGTCCTGGGATCAAGTCCCGCATCGGGCTCCCTGCTCCATCCCTCTGCCTCTGCCTCTCTCTCTCTCTCATGAATAAAAAAAAAAAAAAAGAGTCGCCAGCTCCACAAAAAAATAAACAGCCTGACACACTTCAGCAATCCTTTTTCTTTCTTCTAATAGAATTTATTTTTAGAGCAATTCTAGTTTCACAGCAATATTGAGCAGAAGGTACAGAAATTTCCCATATAATTCATACCTGCTTCCATGCATAGCTTCCCCCATTATTAGCATTCCCCACTAGAACGGGATATCTGATAAAATTGATGAACCCACACTGGCACATCATTATCACCCTGAGTTTATGTTAGGGTTCTCTCTTGGTTTTGTACATTCTATGGGTTTTGGCAAATTTCTAATGACATATATCCACCATTATTGTATCATGCAGACTACTTTCACTGCCCGAAAAATCCTCTGTTTTAATATAATATTTTTAATATA